GATTACAGGCGTGAGCCACCGCGCCCGGCTGATTATTTGATATTCTTAAAACAAATTTCAGTAGAATTTGTTCTACTCAGTTCTTACAGTATATAAAAATTTGAGTACAAATAAATCAATGCTTATAATCACAAACAGCTTTTCTTAAAGCAGTAATTCTAAAGCTATGTACCTGGTAAAGGATGGAAAACTAAATAAAATTATTTCTATCAGTGAGTCAAGCAAATATTTAATAAGCCCAAGAATGTCTGGAGTCCAACCCAAGGCTGATCTCTGCTATTCAGATTTGCTTCATCTCTAAGCAGTCATTATCTCCACATTCTAACATACTGAGAAATTACAGAATAAATATAAAACAACTTCCAAATCTTTAACAGAGATTCAGTTTATTATCTCACTATTTAGGTACTACAGACCAGATACTCAGGCTCAACTGAGGACAAACTTTGAAAAGGACAATCGTATATAGTAACCTCTGCTCTTAGAAAACAAAGTCTTTTGACAGACAAATATGTAAATGATGACAATAAAATGTGATCAGTGCCTCAGTGGAAATATGAAAAGGGCCAATGGCAGCATTATGAAAAGGAGCATGTAAACCACCTGAGGAAGCTGTAAGTTTTACAAAAGTAGGTGGGAAGGACCAGGTGCAGCAGCTTGCCCCTATAATCCCAGCACTTTTTGGGACACTGAGATCGGAACATCATTTGAGCTCAGGAGTTCGAGACCAGCCCAGGCAACATACTGAGACCAAAAAGAAAAGAAACTGAGAGGGAGGAAGGGATATTCTAAACCAAAGGAACTTGTGTGCAAAAGCCAAATGGCAAGACAGAACACAGCATGATTAGGTAACAGAAAGTAGTTTAGGAGAGCTGGTGTATAGGCTGCAAAGAAAACTGTATAAGTATCTGTGATCTAATCCTCAGAAGGACAGGTAAGATCTGGACACAGGAAGCACTCTAAGCTGCAGGTACACTATGACCAAAGACACAGATGTGCAAAAGTAGAAGCATGGATATTAAACAGCTAGAGTGCTAGTTTAGCAAGAGCAAGGGTACACAGTGGGAAACAGACAGCAACCAGACCACACCTATACCAAAATAAGTTACCCTGAATCCTAAGAAGGCAAGTGTGACAGTTAATGTTATGTGTTAGCTTGGTCAGGCTTTGGTGCCCTGTTGTTTGGTCAAACACCGGTTTAGATGTGGCTGTGAAGGTATCTTTTAGATGTGATTAACATTTAAATGAACAGATTTCTAGTAAAGTGGATTACCCTCCATAATACAGGAAGACTTCATCTAACAAGTAAACGCCTTAAGAGCAAAGACTGAGGTTTCCTGAGAAAAGACAACAACATAGAAACCCTGCCTGTGTGTCCAGCCGGCTACCCAGCAGAATCTGGAGTCAAGACTGTGGCAGCCAGGTCTCACTAACACAGGCCTCCATAACAACTGTTTCAGTACTGACTGGGTGGTGAAGTTAAATATTAAAGGCTTAAAAAAGCCAGTGCCCTTATACAACGGCTGAAATGTAACAAAACCCACAAATAGTTTTGCCTAGGCCTTTCCTGGATCTTATAGCATGGCAAAATAATGAAGAACTTAACAGGACCCATTTAGGATTAAATAAGTTTTATCAGGGGTCTGAAGAAACTCCCCAGGCCTCCACAAACAAGTTTACTGGAGGTCTGAAGGAACTCCCTAAACCTCCGTGATTTAGCAGGTGACAGGATAAGGGTTATCACCCCAGCACCTAGACCTATTTAGATTAAGTAAATTTATTGAGGCTCCAGAATAAGGTCTTCAGGACTCAGATCTTAGTTACAGATTAAAAGAAGTTAATCACTTACATCTTTAGATGAATGCACACTTACACATAGACATATTGGTTAGAAAGTATATAAGCTCTGAGGCCAGGCGCGGTGGCTCACGCCTGTAATCCAGCACTTTGGGAGGCCGAGGCGGGTGGATCACGAGGTCAAGAGATCGAGACCATCCTGGTCAACATAGTGAAACCCCGTCTCTACTAAAAAATACAAAAAATTAGCTGGGCATGGTGGCGCATGCCTGTAATCCCAGCTACTCAGGAGGCTGAGGCAGGAGAATTGCCTGAACCCAGGAGGCGGAGGTGGCGGTGAGCCG